AAAAAAATTAAATATTTTTAAATATAAAAATATAAAAAATAAAAAAACTATTTATATTATATATTTTTTTAAATTTATGAATTCATTTCCAATAAATTTTAAAAAAGAATCTAAATTGACTAATTGATTTTAAAATTCACGAACCATCCCTTTTTATTTTCTCCTGGGTCCCTCTAGATAAACCTCATCCTGAGTTAGTTAGCCCTCCAATTCACTCCTCCTTCTTTACGCTAAGGTAACCTGCAAAATCAAAATTTTAAAACGCTAGCTCGCCTGCGGCTCAATGGCAAAATCTTTTTTGGATTTAGGCTCAGCCCGGGAGTTGTAGCCCACTGCCCGAATTTCATTTGGGAAAGTAAGCTTATAGGGAAGATAACTCAAAATATTTATTCCATTATCTTATTCCAAATTGTTATATGCATTGAATTTATATATCAACAAAAAATACTTTGCAAATTTAATGATCCTTAAGCAATTCTATTTTATTATGAAATATAAGTAACTACGCGTGACTGGCCCAAGATAAAATTATTATTAATAAGCCCGGCCGAATTTCATTTCCAATTTTTTCATGGACTTGACTAATTTTTATAGATTTTGATTTATGTTTTTGAAGAGGCCAGATTTGGAGTTATAAACTTATAAAAAATTCGTTGAGTAGATATTTATAATCTAATGTGGTGTTGTTATAAACCGCTCGATTTTTAAAAACAGATAACGCAATAGGCCAAAAATATTATGTAACATTCGAGATTTGGGTTAATAGATGTCCTAACCTTTCCATTACTTACGAGCAAAATCATTAGGCTTGCCTAATATTTTATGTTAAAATATTAGATTAGCTCTTTTAAAAAATTGAGCGGTTTAACAACACTAATTCAATGTAATTAAATAATATTGAAATATAATTAAAATTTTTTTATAAATTAAGTTGTTATACATGCCTCAATAGACATTTAGAAAAAAAATATTGCCCAAAAAAATACTGAAAATTATAGAAGTGGATTTTTTTTAAGGCGAGGCCAAAAATATAAAAAATTAAATTCGCAAACTTTTGAAACTTTAACAAAAAAGAGAAGTAAGCCTTTTTTTTAATATAAAAATAGAAACTAGTCCAAAATATAACTATAAAATTTTTAAAATTTCAAGAATTTAACATAATTAAAATTTTAAAATTTCTGAAAGTTTCAAAATTTTTTAGAATTTTTTAAATAGATTTTAGAAAAGATTTTTGAATTTTAAGTAAAATTTAATCCGGAATCTTATTTGAGAATTCTCAAAATAATCTACTACTTTTAATAAATCTTAAGAATATTTAAAATCTTTGGTAATTTTTATTTTGAGGAGCGTTTTAAACTCTGATTAATAATTAAATAAACACTCCATAACATTTTACATATAATTTTTAACTTAACGTTTGTCCTTATATCTCCAATTATCCAAGTTTATCCATTCACGATATACGAATTAAGTTTAAACACATGTTGTTTTTGGCATTATCATTTCTTGGTTATACATTTTGTCGCGGATTGATATGTATATTCTTCATATTACTCTTCCTATGCCCTTTTTTGAAGACTATGCGCAATGCCCAAGTTTTAACTTTTTAATAGACCTGGCCTATATTTTCTTGATACCACTGACTGAACCTGGGATTAAAATGCTTTTTTAGATATGGGCTGAGCCTTCTTAATATTTTTCATTATTATTAAATTTAGCGACAATAATCTATTTTAATATATCTGAGGGAGGCTGCTGATAAACCCCACCTTACTTCTGATTTAAGATTAACACATAATACAGACCTTGTTTAAATGCAACTGTTCCTGGGATCGTTGATTTAAGTAATTAAGGAAATGGGGATTCTAAGTGAAATATAATATTCTGCCAAATATGCAATAAGTAGGGGATGTACCGATATATTTTATTAGATCGAAAGTATCGATTATCGGCTTATATTATTAATAACAATCAAATCCGATAAAATGGATCTTCAGTTAAATTTTTTAAATCGGTTAATATTTAAGAAAATATATTTATATATTAATTGGGAACATTCATAATTTGAATTGATTAATTTTTATAAAACAAGTTACCAAATTAATTAAAAATATGATAAAATTTATAATTTTTAAGAATGTATATAATAGTTTTAAAGCTCAATAAAAAAATTTAAAAATTCTGAAAATTTATATTGATCATGAATAGCTGGGTTTTTAATTTCTACACAATAGAAAAGTTTTTAGAAAAAGATGAGAATAATTTTTCTATATAAATAAATGATTTATCATTGTTTACATTAGAGGTCTGCAATGGGTGGGGTTTTAGCCCACCCGCCCTCGCCCGCCCCTATTTCGGAAAGCGTGGTCGGGTTTTCTAAAATACTTTCAACATTAGGCGGATGGCGGCGGGTTAAAAATTTCAAGTAATGGGCAGACGTGGGTGGGTGACTTTTTAATATTTTTAAGGCTAAATGAGCAGAACAGGCTTCAATTTATTAGAAATAGGAGTTTTATTTCATAACATTGCATATTATATATGTTTAATATATATATTAAAAGCTAAATCAGCCATTAAATAATTTTTAAACATTAGGAAGGTGGGTTAAAAAATTTCAAAACAACCAGTGGCCCAAAACCCGAATCCTTATATTTAGAAAGAAAAAATATTTTTAAATTCCGATTACTACAGCTGCGTCCTTAGCTCGCCTTCATTATTGTTTTTTTCTAAATTCTATTCAGATAAGCTGCCTGGACACCCTTTTTGCTGATGATATCTTTAAAATACGTTTACTTATTCATATTTCTTCCTAAATAAAAAATCACTATTCAGAGACTTCAGAACCTAAAATAAGAAGAAGAAAAGTTAGATTAGTTTTAATTTTTTCATGAATTGAATTATAAATTTATTTACAGCAAACAATAAACCCAGTGAAGATATAAATGGCAAATCTTGATAATAATGACTATAAAATCAATAAAGTCGATGTTCAAAAAAAGGCAGATATAGTTGAGAACAAATATCAGCGGAGATCTGTCAACGATCAAATGGCTCAAGCTTTTATAAGTAAGAATCATAATTGGCTTAAAAACAATTTAGAAGGTGCAGCAATAAATCAGGAGTCTGGTACGAAACCACGTCGCCTTGCACTTTACTATGATTTGATTATACAATATACTTTTTGAATTTTTTTCATCCAATTTTTTATAGTGGTATAAAATAAATGTTTTTAAAAAATAATGTTCCTTGATTCGTGATATTTTATTTTTTAAATGTTCTTTTTAAAAAAATATGTAATATTGTCTTATATTAAAAAAAAGAATATTTATTTTTTAATAAAATTTTTTTAAAGATATCCTGATTAAAGTTTCAGCTCTATAAAGGGTATGCCAGCGTTGCCCGTCCCGCCTCCCGTAATAGAATACAGTTCTACCATCATCGTGTTTTTGGTTGAAATAAAATAAAAGTATTGTTAGAAGTAAGTTTCGCATATCTAATTTAAGTTATGTGCAAAGGGCATATTAAATACATAGAAAAGATAAATAGATAAATGAAAGTCTTCCCTAAAGATGACAATCCATCAAGAATTAACATTTATGTTTTTTTAAATTTTGATGATGGAAGCTAGTAACGTATCGCATTTAAGGGGCCCGTCATGGGAATGTGGCGGGGTCCGAAGAAAAAAATAAAATGTTGCGATTTTTAATTTTAAATTTTCTTAACTATTTCCGCCTAACACTTAAAATTTGTAGGATTTTATCTCAGATACAGGAGCGTCACTAGCCTTTACAATCTCAGGCTCAAAAAATTTTTTAAATTATTTTCAAAATAACCTTCTTTTTTTAGCTTATCTATCTAAAATTACCTTCTTTTTTTTTTAGCTAACTTACTTATTTTTTTTTAGTGGTATAAGAAAAAATTTCAAAATTTTGAGAAGGCTCTTCAAGTCCTTCAGGGGGCTTTAGCACCTGCACACCCCCACTCCTCTCTCCTAGTGGCGGTACTGCTATGATAGAAACAGCCATTAAGGAAAATTTTGTAGCAGAGCCCATACAATGACTCGACAATTCAATGTTTAAGACCCTTATAAATAGGTATTGTTCTGTTCCTTGAACTTGTGGACTACTTATATATCAAATTTAAATTAGATATTACAAAAACAAGTTTTTATATGTCCTAAATGTTTATGATATGAAATTATCACAAATCGTTTTAATTTTTTTTTGGCAAATATTATTGTATTCTTCTATAAATATCAATTTAAAAAAACAGATTCTTCTACTATGGGTGGGGGGGGGAATGGGGAGTATGACATAAGGTGAAATTGGTGGGAGAGGATAGGTAGTAGTGAAAAAATGGACTTATAAGATTTTGCAACAACCTTCATGGTTCAAGCCACAGCCTCCCCTATGCGATAGAGAGGGGTGAGTAAATTATTAAAACTTTATATATTATAAACCTACATATTTTTTATAAAACCATGTTTATTCTGAATGAAACTAAGTGTAGTCTAATTTTAAAAGGATCATTTTAAAAAAGATTATTGGGAATAATGATATTAAAACTAGTGACGTTCACACTGTTAAAGATTTAAGAGAAGAAAGAAAGAAAGAAAGAAAGAAAGAAAGAAAGAAAGAAAGAAAGAAAGAAAGAAAGAAAGAAAGAAAGAAAGAAAGAAAGAATTACCTGCTCATATCATTTTAAGAGACAATATAAAATGGAATCAAAAACTTGCCATATCAAACAAGTCTTTAATTATGATTGACTACCTTAAAAAGTATAACAATATTATAAAAATATTAAAATCTTAACGAATGATTGTTGAATTATTTACTTATATATAAATAAGTACTAATAATCATATAACTCTTTTAATTCGATACGCATGTAAAATTTAATAATAGAGTATTTATTTAAATTCCAACTTTAATGCTTAACTTTTTATTTAAAATAATAGATTATTTTTCTCCAAATTATGAGGTAACTTGACATAATGTATAATGAATCCAGCTAAAGATTCCAATTCTTACCTAAAAGCGGACTATGAAGAAAGACTTTCCTCCACCAAGCACAATTTGGAAGGGATTATTATTGGAATAGACAATAATCGTTATCGCATAGCAAAGCATATCGGATCGGGAACTTTCGGAGAGTTGAGGTACTGCCGAAACATAATTACCAACGAAACGCTCGCGGTAAAGATAGAACCTAATGATGCAGAGATACCTCAACTTAAACGCGAATACGATTTGTATTGTCGGCTGCACGGCGACAATGAGGGGTATGCCGAAGGTTTTCCTAGGGTATATTACTTCGGAACGTGTCAGGAGTACAAAGTTATGGTGATGGATTTGCTGGGACCCAGTTTACAAGACCTTTTTCAGTATTGCAACAAGAAATTTACGCTTAAAACTGTTCTCATGTTAGCTATCCAGCTAATCACCCGTATAGAGTATATACATTATTATGGGCTGGTTTACAGGGATATAAAACCGGAGAATTTCTTGATAGGTAAGAGATCGAATGGCACAGAAGGAATAATTTGGGTGGTCGACTTTGGATTGGCCAAGGAATACATCGATAAAAATGGTATTTAATCTTTCACGAAACTAAAAAATAAAAAACAATTAATAATAGCAGAATTTTGAAACTTGAATAGAAAGGATTCCGAATCCGGTTTTCCTAAAATTTAAAATTAAAATGGGTTCTAGTTTTGATTTTTAAATCTAATGCGATTCCGAGGATTCTCGAATTTTGCTGTAATTCTTTAGAATTCTAGAATTTTCTTGTAACTCTAGAACTGATTTTGAAACCGTTTCCTGGAAAATGCAAAATGAATTTTGTGTAAAGTTAAAAAGTGGGTTCCAGACTCTGGTTTTTAGATTTTTGGCCCAGAGAGATGCAAGCAGGGCTTTAAACCGAATTGAATTGTGAAACTGGAACGAACCGTTATAATTTTCTTAACCGCAACAGTATTTATAAAGAAAATATAAAAAGAGCAAACCGAATTGTAATAAATATTTTTGAACCGGTTTTAACCGGTTCATGACATCTTTTTTAAATAATTAATTAGAAATTATTAACCTAAATTTGAAATTGAATTTTCCTTAGGGGGCAATTTAAATTCCTGATTTCTTTTCAAATTAAAATTTTTTACAAATAAATCGCCATTATCTTCAAATCAATCAATACCAAGTTTATTGTTTTTATTTTATATACTTAATTTAGTAGAGATTATGCAAATTACTATTTAATTAGATAAGAAATTATCAAATTAAAAAGACTTTTCTCTAATATAAATATATATAAGGTTTATGATTAATATTTTTAAAAAATCAAATTTATAAAAACCGAAACGAATTGAAAAGAACTGTTATAAATTCTAAACCGAACCAACATAAATTTCTTCAAAAAAAAACCAAAATTGAACCAAACCTTTTTAAACTAAAAACCGAAATAAACCGAACTGCTATCTAAAGTTTCGAAGCCCTGCTTGCAACCTCTGCTTTCTGAATTTCCTTTACCGAGAGTTTCGGGTTCTGGTTTTTAGATTTCCGGGTTTGAGAATTCCTGGTTCTGTTTCTGGTCCAAACGAATAATATTATATATATCTATATAAAGGCAAGCATATAAAATTTAGAGAACAAAAACCTTTGACTGGGACGGCCAGATACATGTCTGTCAATACCCATTTTGGATTGGAGCAAAGTAGGAGGGATGATCTAGAGGGTCTGGCATACATGTTTTTATACTTTTTAAAAGGCTCACTGCCTTGGCAAGGACTCAAACTGATCAAAACAGATTCATCCAAACAAAAATACCGCAAAATAGCTGAGATGAAAAGAGATACATCGCCCGACGAGCTGTGTCATGGTTGGCCGGATGAATTTAAAATATTTCTGCGTTACGCCAGGGGATTAGATTTTGTGGAAACACCGGATTATGCCTATTTGCGACGTTTGCTTGAAGAGTTAATTTACTTTTACGGGTGGGAATATGACTTTAACTTCGACTGGTCAGGCAAGCTTCCATCTTCACCAGAAGGGTCAGTGTCTATGACCTATGCTCAACAGGGCAGCAAACCACATGATGCAAAATATATGCAAAGAATGATAAACTTGCCGCCTAGTATAACTCCACAAAATTCCACTCCAAATGAAAATATATCATTTGACCTTGTGTGGCCCGAACGTGACATCAAGTATTTGTTACCACCTACTGGGCATCGAGAGGCAATGATCGATGATCGGGGGGTACGGTTTGATTTGATTAGGAAAGATGAAAATTATAGGGATTACTTCGAAAAGCGTAAGATGAGGGAAAACACATCTACGAAAATTGTATACTTAGATGCTGCAGATGTTGGCGGTGAGGATAGGATTCCGACCAGTGCTACAACTAGTTATGAAGGACCAATAGGGTTTTTTGTTTTTTCTTCTCTTATTTTTAGGCTGTTTAATCGTAGATATATAGCCAGCTAAATAACCACTTGTTTATAATGAGTCGAACCAGGACACGCCACGAGGTCTGTCTAACTGATTCATTTTAAATCAAACCAAACGTGCCCGGGATAATGTGTATATGGAAAAGCTAAATAACCAGGATTATAAAAATGTTTTAAAATTTTTTCACAAAAATCAATTTATTTTGCAAGGCTATGAAGAAATTATACTTTTAACAAATTACATTAGTTCCAGTCCGAGATAAAAAAAGAAGAACATTAGTTATGAGAACAAAGCAAAAGAAAGTTTTCCCCTCTTATATTTTTAATTTCTACTCTTAGAAATATCTCATATACAGGCTTGTAACCTAGAGGGGGGGGGGGGGTATCGCAAATTTATCCTGTTTTCGTAAATATTATTTGTAATAAATATTTCCCCCTACACCTCTCTCTTCCCCAAACAAATATTAATACAATATATCACTATAAAGAAGAATTTGAAAGAAAAATTAGTAAAATTTAATAAATTAAAATAATGACTACAATTTAAAAAAAAAGTGAAAACCCCAAATTTTTATTTTATCTAATTAATGTAGCTTAAGTTCTACAATAATTGAACCTATAGGCCCTCAATAAAATTCATGGCGTAAAACTACTCCTCACCCCCTTACCATGATTCAGGATATGCCTATGAGAAGGGGGTATGACTCACCATCTTCAATGAATATAAAAAAGAAAAGGAGGTTAAGTGGGGTAGGAGGAGATTATGGTCTTGCTAATTTTTTTAGATGGAGGGAGTATTATGGGAGGGGTAAATATTCTAGGGAATAAGGGGATGATGTAATCACTAGTTTAGGGGGAGAGTGTAGATTGAATTCCCTGTAATTAAAATATAATCAATTTTTATTATTATTAATTACAAATTATACTTAAATGAAATCAAAAATCAAATATATATACAAATTCAAAATCTGCAATGTCCGGGATACTTCTGTAAATTTTTTGGGACCAGAAATAATTAATAGGTCGAACGGGCAAATATTGAGGATATCCGACGCTCTCTACATTTTGTGTTTATCTAAGAAAATCCTAAAACCCAAATCAATCATTATTGATTGGAATATATTTCTAGATTTTAAAAACCCGGTAAAAATTGTAACCTGTCAGAAAGAAAATAAATCTGAACCAGGCCAAGTCTAATTTTGCCATTTGCAGACCACTAATATAAATTAGGTTGTTTTTATTATGCGAAAATTGAGTGACATTTCCTTTGAAACGAACAAACGTATAACCCCTCATTCACAGTTAGCGCGAATTGGCGATGAAGAATACAAATACAGCATATTTTTTATATTTAGCCCGCGAATTCGCGCTAGCAAATGCAGGGTAAATTCTGGTTGGTGGAGAATGAATTAAGATCACTTCTTTCCTTAGGGAAATTAAGTTTTTTTTTAGCTTTTGGAGGCTTAATAGGTTTGCCTTCGGAATAACTATATAAAAACATTTAGCTAATATTATGCAATTACAGGATGAATAAATGTACCGCACCAATCTTCTATTGCATGCGCATATCCTATCAATTTTAGGATTATACTTGCATGCAACTCATTAAGGCGTGAATGCTTATTTTTATCCGCGAAGCCTTTTTCTCTTGAGCTGAATTTTTTGCGAGGAGAATCGTTTGCTTGAGAATTTTTTTCTTACCAATCTTCTTCTAATGTCGCGAACCGTTTCCTTACTATTTGATAATATGTCAAGAATTTTTCTAATGAATGTACCTTTACCGTATTCTCCAGAGTTTAAAATTATTGATAATAACTACGGAATAACGGATGAATAATTAAGGTATATTGAATTGGCAGACGATTAAAAGGCTTTTCACTGTTATAAGATTTGCTAATCACAAAAATTAATTTTTGAAATTAATTTATAATATATAAATGTTTCTATGTTATATAATATTTGTCCAATTATTAATAAATAGTCGGGGCTGAAGCATATTATTTTTATACAGCTCAAGCCCATATACCATCTTTTATTATATTAATATAAAGAGGTTGAAAAAAATATCTTTGAAAAGATTTTTCGAAGATTTTTTTGACAAAAATTTTGAACAAAAAATCTTTCAAAATATCAAAAACCTGACAGACGAGATTTTTAAATAAATCGATTTTTTTTTTAAGAAAAAGAAATATGTGATTTTATAGTGAAAATTTTTTGTACATAAAAATCACAAAGTATTTATTTATAAAAGATATAGAATTTTAGGCAAAATTTGATCAATATCTTGTTTGAACATTGTCAAAAAAATCTTTTTGGAAAATAAATTGTGACTTGGGATAAAAATAGCTATAGAATATAATAATCAAAGAAATAATGGTTAAGTCCATAAAATTTAACCATTTTATGGAATCTCAAATGCATGGTCTATACTATCAGTGTCTACATGACAGAAATAAAATTCACTATAGACTCTCATTAAAAAAATTTCCACGCTTATTAAATAAAATATATTTTGCCCTATTTCATCCAAAAATATAATTGGTAACTCCCCAATAAATTTGACCCCCATTCGATGTATACCACATATCCTCCTGACCACCCCCTTTAAAAATTTGGAAGATAAGTTCTTACCCCCCCCCCCCATTTTCTCTTTCAGACGCTATATGCTAACTACACCCCATAAATGAATTTCATAAAATATAGAACGTTAATTGCTATACATTTATTCTTGCTGAATATGTTATATACATATTTATTTTTAAATTTAGAAATCCACGCGTAAAATTTGCGAAGACACCTGACGTTCGCGATAAAATATCTGTTCAAAAGGAACCTCCAAAAAAATTATGTGGAAAAATATGTAAATGTTTTGGTTGTTAGATTGTTTTATATTTAAAAATTTTTTTTATTAATACGATTAATTTCAAATATGATTGAATAACAAAATAAAATTTTGAATTTGTAATGTGAACTTGTTAATAACCAAATTATTGACATTATGATGATATATATTGAGATCCCAATATATATACATTAGATTGGCAATTCATTAATTAAAAGTGTACACCAGGGGCGTTTACATGGGGGGGGGGGATAGGGATAGTAAATGCTTAAAATTTAAAAAAACTACCATTTTTATGTTTTTAATAAATAATAATTATGATGTATTTGATTATTTTTATATTTTTAAAATAAATTTTAAATTATCTTGCAAAATTCTTGTCAAATTTGTTACTCCATCATTAATTTATCCTATTTCAACAAATGATAAGCATTGATATGCCACAAGTCTATTTGACTACTTATGTCGCTATTAAATATAAAATAAAAATATCAAAGTTTTAACCACATCACGTCTCATATTTTAAAATAATGATAGGATATTTTATAATGATAATAGTAAAACTTATTTTAGATATTTAGTTTATTTAATTTTTCAAATTGCTTTTTATCGCTGGCGTAGTGGTGTAGGATGTATGCTTGGAAACCGAAGGTCCCAGGTTCAATCCTGGTAAGGAACTAAATATTTTCAGGGTTTTCTTCTATGATGGATGTGTATAGGCATATGGTAAGATGAATTTCTGAGCTGAGAAATACCACCCCGATCATCGACAGGCTTGGACAGCCGGGTGCTAGGATACTTGTCCAATAAACCAAATAAGATGTCCAGCTTAATTCATGGGTCATTCAAGGATGATAACGATCTCTTGGCCAGTGCAAAGTTAATGCTGACCTCTGGGGCCGTTCAATCCAATGTAATCGATAAGAACAGTGGGATGGATATCTGTTGATATTGATACTTCGGTGTGAGGAATACTCCGGTGGGTTATCTGTCAATTGATACTTCGGTTTCAAATCAAGATACAATGGCCTCGATAGCGATACTCCGGTGGGAAATCCAAATGGAATCGATAAGAATACAGAAATATAAATTAAAGATAAAAATAGATAGCATGAGTAATAAAGTGGAAAGAGATATTGGAAAAGCTTACCACCAGAAAAGGTGAAAGCTAAAATGAAAAAAAAAAATTTTCAAATTGCTTTTGTACTTCTAGAATCTTCGTTTTATCTGGTTTAATAAGATTATAATTACTTCTATATTTATTAAACAAACTGAAGAGAAAAAATAACATCTATGAAGATCATAGAATCATAAGATTTAAAAATATCTTGAATCGGGGAAAGAGAAACCTTATAATGTATTTAAACCAAATTGATTTTTTATTATTTAAAATTCGATATTTATTCAGCCTAAGACTTGTCATAATTTTTATTTCGCTTATAACTGGTTTTTATTAATTGGCTGAAAAAAAAACTGATAGATTAACTAGTAAGTACTAATCATGTATTACATATTGTTCATTGCTTCTATAATTTTCCTTCTTGCATGATGCCAATTTTGTTAATTTTTTTATTTTGTCAGAAATATTTTGTTGAAGCAGTAAAGCACCATGAAATACTTAATAATTATTGACATAAATTTTCGAGATAATGCTTCCAGATATTTAGCGAACTTTACGCTTAAGACGTGGTATCATAGTTTTTGACTCATAATTCGATTACTTTTTTATGACTAGCGAGATTGATTAAATAATTAATGAGGCACTAAATATTAAAGCTAACCAGATAGTTAGAATTTCTATATTCCCTTCCCAATTATTTATTTTTTATCAATAATTCTTTTCCTCATTAGACCAACTAAAAGCAATAAATATACTAATAAAGCCCTAATTAAAGGTTTAATATAAGTTTCAGAATTAGTGTTTCCAAAAGCTTGGCTCACTTCACGTTTAGAGCGTGGCGTCATAGTATTCACTTTGTTTATAACGCAGTTTCTTTTCGTGGTTCTCATATTTGAGCGAGGAATTGAAAGTAATTATCAGGCATTATATAAGCGCACATCAGATATACAGTTTTTTATATTTTCCATTTTAGCACGTCTATACTGTTAATTTTCTTTTTTCTTTATACTCTCTATCAAACGAATTAAATTAATATACAATTATGATATAAACATTGATAAAATTTACTGAATAATACTTTCAGTCACTTTTTAATCTTAAGGTTGACCAAAATCTTGTTACTTATATATTTTTTCCTTTATACTGGTTATTATACTGGTTAAAGGCAGATACTAATTAAGCACAAAACATTGCCATATTTTCGAATTAGTGATTGTTCAGTCAACTTTAATTATAAAGCCATCATATCAAAAACATATAAAAATTCTTTATAGTATGGAGTCGGCCGAAGGCTGGTGGGAAAAGGGCAAAATTTTCTTTAAAACCTCCCCCCAACCCCAATTGGAAAATCCTCACTATGCCACTGTGTACACTTCAGCTGTTACGCATGTACACTCTTAAATGCATAATTTATCAATCTGTGTATCACATCATTTGATGAGATGGGCTTTAACAAAACCAATAAATTTAACTTAACTTTATTTTGAGTTAAATAAGAGGCATCTATTATACAATTTCCCATTCAAAAAGGGAAAGTTCCCGATCAAAAATAAAGAACAGGTCCAATCAAAAGTGGAAAAATCTGATCAAAAAAGGATAAAAAATAAAAAGTGCAAAAACCCGAACAAAAAAGGAAAAGGTCCGATCAAAAATGTTAAAGCACCATATGAAAAGAAAAAGATTCGACGAAAAATTGCCATTCAAAAAAGGAAAACTGGTATTTATTATATTGCTTTTAAATTGTTTTTAAATTCGATGTCGTTTTAATAATCCTAAAATGTCATTTTCTATAATTTTCGGTTACTTTAAATTTTCTTTTTAGTTTTTTCTAACTTTTTTGTCATCTCTCTTCAATTTTTACTTTTTAATCTATTTTTATCATTTTTTTTCAATTTTCATAATATTTCTTTTTCCATCTTTGATTAATATTTTTTGTCTTTTAGCGAACCCCCTAATATATAATTTTCTTTTTTAAAAAAATTATTTATTTATTTTTACTATCATCTTTTTTTATATTCTCTATTTTTTTTGTCATTTTTGATCATTCTTTCATTCATCTCTATCTCATTGCAATTGCGGAAAATAAATTCAGCCTGGCCGGCACTTGTAATTTTTTGTTTTATGGTCAACACCGAACGGATTAATTCTGTCATTTTCGGTTAGGGTTTCTGAGCTCATAGATATCTGGTCTGGATTATATAACTTATTTATTTTTAAAATTACTATCATTACTAAACGATAAATTTATTTCCTAAAAGATAAATATTTTAAAAATATGAAAAAAAATCCATCTTTTTTTATTTAAACTTTTACTTTTCGGTGCAACATTTTTTTCTTTTTTGATCGAACACTTTTTCTCTTTTTGATCTTATCTTTTTTTAAATTAGATTTTTTCCTCTTTGATTTACTTTACTTAAGTCTTTGGTACTTTTCTTTTTTTTTGATCAACTTTCCCATTATGAATTAGAGAAATTGAGACTACATCGTATCACTAAATCATTAGGACGAATATAATTAGCTAGTTTAACCTATCGCTTTATTCTATATTCTTAATAGGTAATTATAACATTTTCTCTGCCAACCCTAAAAGTAATGTCAAAATCATTAAACATCCTCAAAGCCCATCTTGTTAGACGATTATTGGATAAAGAAAGTATTATAACGATTAAAGTTTAAAAACAATAATGAATTTAATTTGTAATTCTTTTGTATATATACTTTTATATAATTATCAAATTTAACTTCTAATGATATGCAATTTGATTAACCTCGATAATATAATATTAAATGTAGGAAAGTTATAATATTCTATTACAAATATTAGTGGCGTCGCTAGGGGGGGGGAGCAGGGGCTCGAGCTCCCTGAAAAATTTGAATAGCCCCCTGAAGCAAAAATTTTTTTAATGGCTCCTTAATATCCCCTTGAACTAAAAATAAATTTTTTTGATTGCTCACTGAATGATTTCTTTTATAATTCTATTGAGTAATATATAGATTTAATTTTATAATTTAAATGAATACTAATTTAATTATTAGATTAGATTAATACTAATCATTGGCGTACGCAGCGGGGGGGGGCAGGGGGACAACCCCCTTCCCCCCCAAAGCCAAAAAATGCAGATGCCGGATATATTTTTCAAAAATATTAATGTTTATATTAATTTATATTTGTTAATATTTATTCCAATCTCATATTAAATATACATTTAATTACATTTATTTATCCCATTCATCTATTAAGTTATTTTATCAATTAATTTCGATTTTAAGTTTTCATTGGCGTAATATTTACCTATTATTTTCAAGTTTACATTGGCGTAATATTTACCTATTATTTTCAAATTTCTAGTGGCGTAATATTTATCTACCATTTTCATATTTCTAGTCAAATAATAATTTTCTGAGTCCAACAGGGAGAAAAAAAGTGTAAGCTTGTCCAACGAGATGGAGTCTCCGCCATCAAGCAGTAACAGCTTTTATGGAGTTAGAAGAAACGAATATTAATGCTATTACTGAAATATCACAATGGCCTGAAAGAAATATTTCCTCAGAAGCAAGAAAATTATTGGATTCAATACTTATTTCAATTTTTTTTCTCATTAGAATGTATCATTTAATTATACAACTATTTTATGTAATACTTTTCAAAAACATGGCATTGACTTGATTAAGAAGATGAGAATAGCCGAGAGCATTTTATTAGAACTTAAGGAAATTAGGGCTAATGTTGATGAAGAATTTCAATTTTATATGTCATTGTTGAGTCAAAAGGAGAGCTATACGTGTTTAATATTGATCTCACTCGATTTGCATCAAGGCAAGCTCATCGTCAAAACATTAGTATAAGATCAGTAGAAAAGTATTATAAAACTATAATCCAAATAAATGAATGGTTTTTAATTCATCATGCAGCACTTACCAATCTGCAGATATTACTACCACAAAAGTCTTCCCAATCTTTTTCAGATGGTGATATAAAAAAAAATAATATTTGTTTGATGCCTTATTAGCTGAATAACTATGTTTAAAAGATTAACTAAAATATAGTCCCAAAAAATGCTATGGATGCTTTGTATAATTTCAAACACATTTTAGATTTTATTCCCAATGTATTAAAATGATTATATATATTAGCAACTCCCCATTAGTAAACTAATGAGAGAACATTCTCTGAATAACAGAGCCCTGCAGAGATACAATTTGCAGGGCACGGCCTGGATTTTTTTTCAAAATTTTTTTTCGGCCCGCCTGGGTTTTTTTTAAAGAAATTATACTTATTTTTGATTTTTATAGCTAATTTCAAATATTTGGTTTTAAAATATATAGCCGGGCCCGGATAATTTTTTTAAAAAAAATCGGGCCCGGCCCGGGTGTTTTTTTTAAAAAATCAGGCCCGGCTCGGGTGTTTTATTTTAAAAAAAATTTCGGGCCCTGATAGCTAATTTCAAATATTTGGTTTTAAAATATATAGCCGGGCCCGGATAATTTTTTTTAAAAAAATCAGGCCCGGCCCGGGTGTTTTTCTTAAAAAATTTCCGGCCCTGTCCAGGTGTTTTTTTTTTAAAAAATTTTGGGCCCTGCCCGGGTGTATTTAAAAAATTGCAGTTTTCTGAAAATACCTAAGAAGTACAACTTCTGAGTGGATTGAATGGTTTGGATCTTATAAATATTTAAAGGCATTTGACGCCAAGCAAGGATGAGTAATTGAAAAATTAGCTCAATCCTTATGAAGATTAGATTTTACATTGTAAATATAATAAAAAATACAATTATTCCTAAGAAACTTTTTGTGTATTAATATTTATATTTCCAAAATTAAATTTTTTTACTTTATATATAAATTTTAAAGGCTCAAAAAATTCAAATTTCTATTTTGGGTCAATTAAGTGATTCATATGGTGGTTATATTCACTTTATATTTTTTAGTTCACATTTATTTTATAGTTTTTTATGTGCCGGTTTATATATATTATTTTTTTATAATTTATAATTTAAAATTGTGTATTAGTTATTAGTCCTAATAAATTTATGCTTGATATTTTTAAATAACAATAATATTTCTTTAAAAAATTTATTATCCCCCCTCCCCTCAAACCAAATTCCTGCGTACGCGCCGATACTTATAAATTATATTTTCACTATGTCATCTTGCAATCAAATTCTGTATTAAAAATGGAATATTAATATCACTCACTAAATATTAATTTAGCACTAACAGTTGAAGCTTTATTGACTTTTATTATTTAAATTATTATATAACCCTAATTAAAAAAATATTAATTAAAAATTAACAAATTTAATTTTGTAATTAGCCGAGTTCAAAATCAATAATCAACTATATTATTGATATTTAAATTTAATTACCATGCCTCTTCTGAAAATTATTTTCAAGGTCCAAATCCAAATAAGTATAAGAGATTTATTTATAAAAAGTAAGTAAACATATAGTTTATAATCCTCTATTAAATATAATTGGTTATAAAATTTAAATATTTAACGGCATCTAAAATATTTTTAAAAAACATCTTATTATTTATCCCAGAATGGATGTAATAAATTAGATAACTTTTCTTCTCTTTTTTACGTGTTTTTAGGAAAGCTATTTTTTTTCTTATTTAAAAAACAGTATTGAGTTAAATTTTTAATACTAATATAATTTTGTTATTATTACAAACTACTACTATTTTAAGATATAATATACTAACTAGAGATGGTGCGACAATAATATATAAAATCTTAATTAATTTCTTTTATCATATTACTCTGGTTCTTATTTTATAGTTGCAAAATGTTTCACTTATATGGCATCCCTGTCTTGTAAATAACTTAAGGCTTCAATACATTTGCATAATTTCTTCTAAAGATTTTTAGTGTTTTTGTTTTATCAATTTATCTAGCATGATAAATTCTGATATAAGTTAATATAGGAGTGTCATGGCTATGACTGCAAATTAACCAGCATCTATTATTTGTGGGGCTATGTAACTTAAGATTATTATTACAGCTGCGGAGAGCATATGATTGCATATTTTATAAGCAATAATGGTCAACAGTATAGTTGTTTATATATCATTAAAAATGGAAGATAATCTTTTAGAAATTTAATATCTCACAATTTTTTTCTCAATTACTTATCTAGCTTCCATTATGTCATTTAAGAGGAAGCTCTAACCACCATATAGTTTTTGATTTGGATTGGTCGTTTATATTCTCTTCTCTAAGAACTGTTGATTTGGTTAGGCCTATAAATTTTTCCTTATTAGTCCATTCTATAAAACATTGTCTAAAAATGGTAACAGAGTGTTATATTAGTTTCTTGACCTTTTGTTATGTAAGTTGCTAATTTTAGAATATGTAGTTTTTAAAAACCATTATAAATTGAGGCATGTGTATGAATTAAT